GGCGGAAGAAGACAGAAAGGAAGTAAACACTAAAGGGAACGGCAGAAGAAGACAGAAAGGAAGTAAACAGTAAAGGGAACGGCAGAAGAAGACAGAAAGGAAGTAAACACGAAAGGAAACGGCAGAAGAAGACATACAGGAAGTAAACACTAAAGGGAACGGCAGAAGAAGACAGAAAGGAAGTAAACACGAAAGGAAACGGCAGAAGAAGACATACAGGAAGTAAACACTAAAGGGAACGGCAGAAGACAGAAAGGAAGTAAACACTAAAGGTAACGGCAGAAGAAGACAGAAAGGAAGTAAACACTAAAGGGAACGGCAGAAGAAGACAGAAAGGAAGTAAACACTAAAGGGAACGGCAGAAGAACACAGAAAGGAAGTAAACAGTAAAGGGAACGGCAGAGGAAGACAGAAAGGAAGTAAACAGTAAAGGGAACGGCGGAAGAAGACAGAAAGGAAGTAAACACTAAAGGGAACGGCAGAAGAAGACAGAAAGGAAGTAAACAGTAAAGGGAACGGCAGAAGAACACAGAAAGGAAGTAAACACTAAAGGAAACACAATATGAGCTCTGGCAGTGTTTAAAGTCTGGTCAATGGAACAGAAACTGAAAATGTTAAGTTACGTTGCTGTCGCCGCAGTTCCAGCCGTTGGTGCTCAGGGGAGCTGTATTATTTTGTCTCAGCGCTGTAATACGATCATTTTCAAACCAATGAAATCTATATGTTGTGTCAAACGATTGATTTATTGAGTAAGTTGCTTCAGTTTCCTCCGGCCAGGCAGACAGTGTGATATCTAGGTCTGCCCCCTAATAGTCTACTAATAAAGTCTTAATCGAGCAATTTTTCATTAGTCGATTATATATATATTAAAAAAAAAAGAAGCTCCATCTGTGCGCTGCATGTGCTATGAGCGTCAGCCGGAAACCCCCTCAGACTGCTCTCCGAGCGGAGCCAGGTCATCATGTTAACTTGATTGAGCAGGAAATCCAAAGTGTGGATCTTTCTGAGCGAGTAAAGGACGAGTCCCACAAGGTGACATGCAAACTACGAAGGCAAAAAGTCTCCTCCTTATCCACACCATCACAGCGCAGCTTCCTGACTGCCGGCTTCATAACAAAACAGGGATCTGTGAAGTGAGAGGTTCCTAGAGAGAGAGCCGGGGAATGCTACCAGAGAGCTGACGGAGTGTGTGAGTGAGGATTTAACAGTTATTTCATTATTGTGGCGTGGTTAACCTGTGATCGTTATACAAACGTAACAACGTAAATGTCCCCTCTGTGGGACTAATAAAGGTATTCTGATTATTAATAAACTCCCGGATAAAAGACATACAAAGCCTCCCTGTGTTCCTATAGCAAGACGCTACAATATAATCATTCTGCCCTCAGAAAACGATAGAGCTTTCATGTATACCGCTGCGTCCGTGCGCTGTGACTCATGCACTCTCTACATTTCATTTAGATTTCAAAGGTTAATTATTACAGTTTTATATTTATATGTTATGTGAAGCACAACGCACCATGCTGTTATAATAACGCTCTTTATCAGCCTTTGAAACTGAAACCATTTTGGGAGAAAAAAATAATAATTAAAAAAGTATATATATTTATAATCCTAATTTATCATAAACGTACGACGATTAGACGACCAATCGCCTTAATTGGTCGACGAGAAACATCTTTATTCGAGGGCAGCCCTAGTGATATGCAGACTGCGTACTTGAGTTTGAGGTCTCGGGTGAGCTCGTTCTGGGTCTGTTCCAGCTCCTGCCGCTCGTTGATGTGAGCCTCCTGGATGTCGTGGATCTCTGCCTTCACTGCCTGCAGCTTGGCAAACAGCTGGAGGACAGAGAAGGAGACAGGAAGCCAGGGTCCATTAACCATGATGGAAAAAGTATTTATAATATTCAGCCTTGGTAAATTAATCCAGCCTTAAAAATGGAATATCCAAATAAAGCAACAAAGCCTATGGGGTATTATGCTTGATTTTAAATACAACCTGTCATATATACTTGCAAAGCATTTTATCAACAGATATATAAAGCCTCACAAGTTCTGAGCACCAGGCTTTTCAAACGTTATAGCCATGCGGTACCATTACAAGAAGTGCTCCTTTTATGTACTAATATATTGATTGTTAACAGCTAAAAGAAGCAGGACAGCCATGAAAGCTTGGGACTGCTACCTTCTTCAGCTTCTTGGTTTTGATGTCGACCTCCTGCTGCAGAGAACTGTACGTCTCCTTCAGCTCCAGAGTCTCCTCGTCTCGACTCTCCATCTGCTGCTGCATCTCCCGCTCTCGCCGTTTCTGGGAACCAACAAACACACACACGTTCACACATGTGGGACACACATCAGTTAAGCTTGATAGTGTCAGGTAAAATGTTCCTCATCCAATGTGATGCCCTACAGGGACCACAATGCAAGAAGTGGGTCTGATTATAAGGACTACACACACACAAGGGATGGGAAATTGCTACTAACATCCAAATGCTAAAGCTACATTAGCAAATAATAGGATTTCCTAGGCTTACTGTCAACAGACTTTCAAATTGTCAAACAATAAGTCTGATGTTGAGCCTGGGCCCTATTCTTCATGACATACGAGTTCATTTCCTTTGATTGTTAGAGATAAGCACACGCCTGGGTTTTTCGGTCTTTAATGATAGATTACATTTGAAAATCTACATTCGTTGTTAGGGCAAGGTGTCCTTAAACCCTATCCTGACTCTTAAACCTGATTTGATACTTGTTCTCCACAGGCTCTGTTGATCTTCTTACTGCATTTGCCTCATTGTTTCACTGAAGCATCAGCACCATTAACACCATCTCTACATCCTGAACTCTGACCTGCTGAGCTCCTGTTCTATAACCCCCTCCCCTTGCCGCTCTCTTTCCTGTCATAGATTAAAGCAGCAGTATATTTTGCCCAAAAGATTATTGGTGCTATTTTTAAGTGGCACTGGTTTTATTCTGTCTGATTCTGTTAAAGCATCTGAGGACGCTCCCAACAGGATGAAGACACGGATGTGTTGTTTTAGATCTAAGCAGTGTATCTGGGACAGAAAATAGTGACACAAATCTTGCAGTCTAAACCTGGTGCCCACAAAGCATCGGAAATGATTTAATCACATCCTGACAGCATTCAAACCCATCGTGTAACAGTTTGTGTATTTGTGCTGAACCTTCTGGGGTGAAGGCCTGGTTCACAAACCAAAGGGAAGATTATACATTTTAAGTTCTGTTTTTACTCTTCTTTTTCTACTTTACATGTAAACAGTGTACTTCTTACACATTTACTTGTACATTGGTCACTTAAAACATTCTCTTGCACTATTGTAATTCTACTCTGTTTCTTTTGCACTCATATATTCAAGTAGCATTATTGAAGGAGCCTGGGACTTAAAGAGCATCTTGCAGGTTTTTTTTTTTTCTACATTTATGCTTAAACTTGCTTGAAAATTACAATTAAAAAAGTGAATGTAGGATTTTGATATATTTTACGAGACATAAGGGCAGGAATTCAGAGGGAAAGGAGCAATTTTGAGCTCTGCTCTTAAAAACGGCTTTTTTTTTAAGGTCATACGTCAAACGCGTCATATTACATAATAAAGGGTAAACATCTCCGCTCTCTGACGTATAGTTAGTAGTTGCGTTGAGTTGAGCGGTTGTGTTTTAGTGAGCTGCTATTTTTCGGTAGTTTTACATTGTATTTCACCATTTGTAATCATGGTGCAGTATTGTGTTTGTGCAGGTTGCACAAATACCAGCCTGTCAGGACATCGAGTCCACAGTAAAAAGGACCGGAGCTAGCGTTCGTTCCTGGGTGCGTTGTGCATCCACCTCTCTGCAGCACATACTCACCACAGCTTTATCAGGAAACCGTATTACTTCTCTCGCCCCCCCCTTCGCTGCTCTCTCTCTCTCCCCTCCGGTACACGGCACCGTAAGATATAGTGTGGAGTTGCATAAAGCTGTGGTGTCTGTACTGCTCCAGCCGTCTCCTTTGTGTTTGTTTGTTTCCCCCTGTCTGTGTTGTTTGTGTAGGCGTGGTGGCTGTCACTCCTGGCTTCCGGCTCAACCTCCACTCACCTGCTGCAATCAGCTGTGCACCCTCCCCACTGCACACCTGCTTTCCATCAAGCCATTTACAATGGCATATCAACGGAGGCTCCACAACCTTTCTCCGCCAGATCGTCAAGTATCAGCCGTATCTCGCGTCTCCCCTCCGGTACACAGCACCGTAAGACGTAGTGTGGAGTTGGAGGTAACGCGAGATAAGGCTTATACTTGCGCATTAGTTTCTGTTATGGATCAGTATCAACAGTCCTGCCAGTAACGTTACTATATTATCAATACTACTTTAGTTATAGCCTGATATATGATTGCTAACTTTACAATGTTGTGATGTGACTGA